CAGTGTTGTTCTTACAGTTGCTTGGCTCGCCAGTAGCTGATAATTGGTAATTCAAACAAGGCCCACGTACAAAAGGACCATTGTTTAATACTTGTGCTCATGAGTTGCATGGGTCTGTGTGTGCGTGTCCATGTAGGGAGCGGTAGCGGTTAGCGCGCTGCGCTACGAACCAGGCGACCCAAGGTCGATTCCCGCTCATGGCTATCACCGGTGACAATTATCTGAACTGGTCCTGGGCCTCCCGTAGGTCCACTCAGCCTCAAACGAGTACATGGTACAGTGTGTAAACATTGCCTCTGGGGAGACAAAGGTGGCCAGGCGTGGTGTTGGTCACCCATCTCCTTGTGTGCCGTGCCAGCCTCCATAGGTGCTCGCTAACAGCACTTGCCCCAACAGTCTGTCAAGGCTACACGGGGTATCTTTGTAGTTGTTAGCACGCTGCCTCTACAAACCCGGCTACCTGAGTTCGATTCCCGCTCACGACCAAAGATATGTGAGGAATATTTGAACTGGTCCTGGACCTCCCATGTATCGACTCAACCTTAAATTAGTACCAGGTGTGGTGTGTAAGTGGCACTATGGAGACAAAGGCAGCTGTGAGTGGTGCTGACCACGCTATCACTGTTTAGGCTTTCATAAGTGCTCGCTAATAGCACTCGGCCCATCAGTCTGTTAAGGGTAAGACATGTAGTTTTGTGCACGTCTTACCCTTAAGACAGACGCGCACATGTACAGTGAGGGAAAAAGTATTTGATCCCCTGCTGATTTTGTACGTTTGCCCACTGACAAAGAAATGATCAGTCTATAATTTGAATGGTAAGTTTATTTTAACAGTGAGAGACAGAATAACAACAACAAAATCCAGAAAAACGTCAAAAATGTTATAAATGTATTTGCATTTTAAAGAGGGAAATAAGTATTTGACCCCCTCTCAATCAGAAATATTTCTGGCTCCCAGGTGTCTTTTATACAGGTAACGAGCTGAGATTAGGAGCACACTCTTAAAGGGAGTGCTCCTAATCTCAGCTTGTTACCTGTATAAAAGACACCTGTCCACAGAAGCAATCAATCAATCAGATTCCAAACTCTCCACCATGCCAAGACCAAAGAGCTCTCCAAGGATGTCAGGGACATGATTGTAGACCTACACAAGGCTGGAATGGGCTACAAGACCATTGCCAAGCAGCTTGGTGAGCAGGTGACAACAGTTGGTGCAATTATTCGCAAATGGAAGAAACACAAAATAACTGTTAATCTCCCTCGGCCTGGGGCTCCATGCAAATCTCACCTCGTGGAGTTGCAATGATCATGAGAACGGTGAGAAATCAGCCCAGAACTACACGGGAGGATCTTGTCAATGATCTCAAGGCAGCTGGGACCATAGTCACCAAGAAAACAATTGGTAACACACTACGCCGTGAAGCACTGAAATCCTGCAGCGCCCGCAAGGTCCCCCTGCTCAAGACAGCACATATACATGCCCGTCTGAAGTTTGCCAATGAACATCTGAATGATTCAGAGGACAACTGGGTGAAAGTGTTGTGGTCAGATGAAACCAAAATGGAGCTCTTTGGCATAAACTCAACTCACCGTGTTTGGAGGAGGAGGAATGCTGCCTATGATCCCAAGAACACCATCCCCACCGTCATACATGGAGGTGGAAACATTATGCTTTGGGGGTGTTTTTCTGCTAAGTGGACAGGACAACTTCACTGCATCAAAGGGACGATGGACGGGGCCATGTACCGTCAAATCTTGGGTGAGAACCTCCTTCCCTCAGCCAGGGCATTGAAAATGGGTCGTGGATGGGTATTCCAGCATGACAATGACCCAAAACACACGGCCAAGGCAACAAAGGAGTGGCTCAAGAAGAAGCGCATTAAGGTCTTGGAGTGGCCTAGCCAGTCTCCAGACCTTAATCCCATAGAAAATCTGTGGAGGGCGCTGAAGGTTCGAGTTGCCAAACGTCAGCCTTGAAACCTTGATGACTTGGAGAAGATCTGCAAAGAGGAGTGGGACAAAATCCCTCCTGAGATCTGTGCAAACCTGGTGGCCAACTACATGAAACGTCTGACCTCTGTGATTGCCAACAAGGGTTTTGCCACCAAGTACTAAGTCATGTTTTGCAGAGGGGTCAAATACGTATTTCCCTCATTAAATGCAAATCAATTTATAGCATTTTTTGACATGCGTTTTTCTGGATTTTTTTTATTGTTATTCAGTCTCTCATTGTTCAAATAAACCTACCATTAAAATTATAGACTGATCATTTCTTTGTCAGTGGGCAAACGTACAAAATCAGCAGGGGAGCAAATACTTATTTTCCCTCACTGTATGTGTGTGCGCATGCGTGTGTGTGCATGGTGGCGCAGCGGGGAGCGCAGGTGTTGCACTTGCTAGTCATCTCGGTCCATTAACTCGCATTTTGTGATTTGGTTTAAAAACCGTTAACGTTCTATAAATCTGTATTTGCATACATCACAAAATCTCATTTTGCATTACAAAAAAAAAACATCCCCGTAGTGCACAGTCTAGGGCAAGACTCGCACGAAGCAGCGCCGCTGTCTAAACAGGGCCGCTGTATAAACTGTTGCCGCCGTCTTTGCCCGTAACCAGACTCCCTTTGTTATCGAAGTCATTTGGCGCGAGCACAAAGCCCCGCGGCCTATTTTTAGTGGCGCGCGGCCTGCGCTATCAGGTGGCTGTCCTGCACGGAGCGCGTCCGTGAACAGGCGACGCGACGACGTCCGTAAAAGCGCGGAGTTTATCACGGGCGCGCGGACCTTCCTGTGCCCGTCAGTCCATCAATCCGTCATTCGCTCCGTCCGTCCATCGTTCTGTCAGACCGTCCATCGGGGACGATTGTGCAGATGATTGTGATGGCAGCGCTTGCTTACGTGCGAGGACACGGCACAGGCCTTTTTTTTTTTTATATATATATATATATATCCGCCGCCGTTTGAGGGCCTCCCCATGCTGTACGGGGTCCTGGGAAGTTTTGTTGACCGTACTTCTCCGTGCCGGTCAGTGCGGGTTGCTGAAGCGTAGACGGGGGAGCGGAGAAGTACAACGGTGGATTCTAGATTGAAAGCTTTCGTGACTGCTAGGATCCATACTCTTTGGTTCTATTGGGTAAAGTCACGTAGGTGAAAATAAAATAACAAAAAATCACGACGTTTCGGCCACAACACAAGCGGCCTTCATCAGGTGAAGGGACGAGACTGTCTGGAGGACAGCGCTGGAGTGGAATTGGTTGCTGGAGTGGAATTGGTTGCAGTGGCCTCTGCTGCCCAGCTGATGGCTTCGCAACCGATGACAACCTCTCGTTCGTGGCCGTGACCGCCCATCTGACCACAGTGCAGGCCCAACCCTGCCTGCTGCGTTTCCTGAGATCTGATGAAATCGGGGTGCATTCTGGGCGATTTGCTCCGGCTCAGGGTGATTCACTGTCGCCGGAGGCCACTCGGTTATAATTGCACGTGCATACGGACGCTCGTGCGCAGCGACAGCAAGCCCCTGTTATTTTCAGGTAGAGGAGCAGACGTTTTGACTTGTGGCATTTTTTCCAGGCTGGGTAGACTCGGGAGGCCACCTAAAGTGCTGGCAGGAAGCCAGAATTCAGACCCAGGTGTTCGAGCTTAACCGACTGAGATGACTGGCAGATGCACCACCTGCACTCTTCAAATATGCCACCTTGCTATGCTTTAGCCACCTGGCACTCTGCCATTTTTATGAGCATCGCTCGTCTTCCTGCAGTTTTTTTATGGGACCGTAAGCTGCCTATAACTGCCCAGTACCGTCCTTCACAAGTCCCCGCCGCGGAGATAAAGCTTGACACCGCTGGTTCCAGTCGTTAAGTTTGCTCAGCTCCAAGTCCCCCTGCAACACATACCACTCTTATCTCTGTATCCAACGTTTGTGAGGCTTGTTTAGCCCCCTCTATCCGGCCAGACACAAGTGTTTTTTTGGCATTCATTAGTTTGGATTGCAGGCTACATGACCCAGCCAATGCATCCCAGCCTGATGGGACAATGTTTAGATATTTCAAGGATCTGAGCTTTCTCATACAGTTCAGCCCAGTTAAACCCAGGGTTGTGGAATGCGCTTCTTCTTCTTCTGCCGTACGGCTGATGTAGATACAGAGCAACAACTACAATTTCACATTCCGGTGGTCAAGCCAGATAACCGCGTCAGGAGCAGCGGAGTTTATCTACGCTCTGAAGTCTCCTTTGTGTTTGTGGATCGGGGCATTGTGTCGTTATACGTTGTACGTCTGTTCTGGATGACCACAGTCACGTACTGGAGAGTTTTTAATTTTCCATTTGTGCATGTATATATGTATGTGGAACTTCGTTCGAATGGTACATAACCAACCATGCTAATCGGAGGTGTATCAGGCATCCGCATCTGCCATAGTTTGTACGGATGCGGTTTATGGTGGACTACGAGCTTCGTGGTCCACCATAAGATTATTATTTTATTCTCATTCTACGTGACTTTACCGAAAGAACCAAAGAAGAAGATCAACATAAGTAAACGACCACACAGAGGTGTAAATCTTGGCTTAAAGCTTTCGTGACTGCAGGAATTTATATTCTTGGGTCTTTCGGTAAAGTCCCGTAGATAGGTTCAAAGAAAATCATTAAAAAATAACAGAAAACTACGACATTTCGTTCGCAACGCAAGCGGTCGTCTTCAGGAAAACGACCGCTTGTGTCGCGATCGAAACGTCGTAGTTTTCTGTTATTTTTTCTGATTTTCTTTGAACCTATCTACCTGCCTTTACCGAAAGACCCAAGAATACACACAAAGGGGTGTTGTTGTTTAGTTTTTGCCGACCAGGCTGAGACCCATCGCTCGAGAAACCCCCCCCCGGGGGGGTCGGGTCAGCTCAGTGTCTCTGACCCCCTGAGCCGCCACGTGTCCAACCTTGCCGCCTCCCTCGATGGCGACGTCCTAACGGAGCGAGCCGCTGTCACTCCCCCGCCACCCCACCGCAGGCAGCTGTACTGGCAGGAGGGCGAGCGTGGCAAGAAGCTCAAGTGCACGGGGCCACAGTACGTGGACTACGTCATGTGCTACGTGCAGCGCCTCGTCACCGACGAAAAGATCTTCCCGACCAAATACGGTGAGACAAGCGAGGGCGCGCCGACGCTCGCGGCGAGGGCCTGTGAAATGACGCGTCGATCGTCGCGACTTTATCCCCGTTTGGCCTGGCTTTCCCACCGTAGCCGTCAATTCGACGGGGGGAAGTGATCGGCGTAGGCGTATTTCGCGTCCGGCTGCGCCGATGAAAATTCCGTGTGTCCCCCCCCCCCACTTCTTGGCTTTGTGAAGTTCGCTCGTTGCCAAAATGTCGCGGTGTCCCCAGCGCGCGCGTACGGTGGGCACTGCGGCGGCGCTTACATCCATTGCAGCCCTGAGCCAGTGGTGGAAATGTCGCTCTCTACAGGTTGGGGGCTATTCGCTACACAGAATGACGACTTTTGATTTGCCACAAGGTGGTACTTATTTTAATCGAACCCAGAGGGGATGATGGGGCCGAGTTGGCTGACCCCCTGACTGGGATTTGAACGCGCGAACTTTATATTGCTATTCGAGCATTCGAAAACGCAGTGGCAACCGGCCTGAAAGCGTTCGTCGACGAGTAAAGGATAAACCTACCGAATCGCCGAGTAGCCAGTGAAGTCGATGAACTCACTGACTAACCAATTGGACAGGGGCGGCGGCGTTGGCCCGAGTGGCAGTGCGTTCGCGAGGTTGTCGCAGAGGTTTTATCGCTCGAGCCCAGCGGCCGCCCTGGTTAATCCCGCGGACTCGTTCACCAGAGATTCGTGGCGGCTGCTTCACAGCGGACGGTGACGTTCCCGTGTCGCCGTCCGAAACGGGTAGGCCCGTCATGGTCCAAATCTTGGCAGATTCGAAAATTACTCTCGGCTTTCAGCCAATTGTTTCAGACTGCATGGCAACATCGCCACCCCCTAACCAGCCCTGCTGTGAAACCACTGCAGACTCGCCCCGCCTATGAAAACACAGCGCCTTTGCCATCGTCGCCTTGCTGCTTTAACAGTGGTGCGGCCACCGAACGTACCAACGATTCGATTCTAATCTTTTACTCCCTCCCTCCCGTCCCCCGCCCGCCCGCCCGTCCGCCCCCCCCCCTCCCCCACCTAATGCACCCGGCAGGCCGCGACTTCCCCAACTTCTTCAACTCGTACGTGCAGAAGATCTTCCGCTACCTGTTCCACGTGCTCGCCCACGTGTACTGGGCGCACTTCCGCGAGACGGTGGCGCTGGACGTGCACTCGCACCTCAACAGCCTCTACGCGCACCTCCTCACCTTCTGCGTGGAGTTCTCGCTGCTGCCGCCCGAGGAGCTGGCGCTCATGGCCGAGCTGAACGATGCGCTGCTGCCGAGGCCGAGCGCCGTCGGGCCGCGTGCCCAGATCTCGCGCCGACGCTGACGCCGGTAGCGACCGTACGTGCGTGCGTGCGCGTCTGTCCGTTCGTGTTACGTCTTTTGCCCCGGCAGGGGAATCCAAACGGGACTGATATCGTTTTAGCGATGGAATTGCGCGATGAGGAAGCTGACGAAAGTGAAGATGCAAGACGTAGGGAAAAAAGATGGCCCCGTTTTTTTTTTTGTAAGATGATGTTGTTGTTGGTGGATGGCGCCTGCTACTGCTGCTGCTGCACTATTGTCGATTGAGGAAGTTTCATGGGATTTTAGCAGAATTCAGACGCCCCGATTCATCATAGTCATCGTCGCCGTCATCATTATCGGCGTTAACGCAAAAGCCGTCTCGGGGATGTTACGGTGACTCGAAACGGACTTCTCGTCTTGCTGTTTTGGGCACGTGCTGCCTTTTTATCTCTTTCTTTTACTCTACAAGACAAAAAACCATCAGTACAATTACTCGCTTTTCAGTGTATGGAACACGGGAGACGACCCCGAAAATAAATCTGCTCCAGATTTTTTCTGTCATTGCAAAATATGCAGCACAATTAAGGCTGGGGTGGGGTTTTTTTAATATATGATCATAATAAAAATGCTTTTTTTTTTTAAACCTTGCAAAAAATAATCGTAACGTGAGCAAAATCTTGGTCTCCCGAGATGAGCTGTTATGCTTACTGTCATTATTACCTCCTCAACGAAAAGGTCAATTGATGCGTACGCGTGTGTGTATGCGTGCACGCACGTGTGTGTGTGTGTTTATATGCGGTATACGTGTTCGTTCATTACATCTTGGGGACCGGTGCTGCTTTCCCACTGTGGCCTTTGCTCATTGCGCGACCTTGAAGGGGTCCAGTTCAGTGGGTAGTATATTGAGGAAAGTGACGAGCATTCTGCGTGCGAGTCGATTGGTGGTGCATTTGTGAGCGTTTATTAAACCTCTGCTGGTGGAACTAATTAAAAAATTGAGGCACCTTTTTTAAAAGAGAAGAGCAAACATATTTCCTGCAAATTCTTTTTTGTGAAGCTGCTGCAAGGGTTAGCCATTCGAAATGGAAATAAAGTAATGTTAATATGCAATAGCTTTTTTTTTTATTAATGTCAGTGGATTTCGTTGTGAGTAGATATTTACTTGAGAGATATAGCCCGTATGTAATGTACATTTCTGTGGTGGTGGTGGTGGTGTTTGCATACAAGTGGGCTGTCTTTAAATGTGTACAACATTCATTTAACAACAGCACCAATGTTTTTTTTACTTCAGCTCATTATGTTAATCATGTACAGTCAAATGTCAACGATGTTGTTAAACATTCTAAAATAATTATCCACGATTGAGGTACCATGTTAGTTAGGTTTAATTTGGTTTGATAGTCGTCAGCATTCGCAAACTTTCTTAATTGTCTTTAAAGCAGGCATACTGTATAATCGTGCAGGAGTTACAATGTGTCGGGTTTTTCTGCGCTCTGTGCAGATGTCACCTATATTTAAACGGTGTTCAGAGCTCCATTGAGAACACGAGGAGTCTCGTTTTATTGACGGGAGACTTCGGTGAAATGGATTTGTTTCAAGAAGACCCTTTTTTATAATTAAATTGAGGATTATGGAAGTGCCTTTTGCATCTTGAGTGTCGCATCTACTATGCAATTTAAAATGTTATTTAAGTAAAGTTCCCTGCTCGGTCAAGCATTGGGGGTTTGCATTCAGCACTCATCTCCATTGGTGGCCCGGAGCCATCGCTGGAAATTCCACATTATTCCCATTACGTTATTCCACATTATTCCCATTACGGGGGGGGGGGGCAATTTGAAATGGATATCAATGTCCTTTAGCAAAATGTTAACGTTGGGATACCCTTTAAAAACAGATGGTGTCATCGAGCTCAGTAGATGCATTTCATTTATATTACCCATAGGTTGGAAAATATTTAAATAGCTCAGATTAAAGGTTGGCACATTAATCATTTAAAATATCCATCCACAAAACTCACGTTCCGAATTTGTTCCTCGTTGTGATATTTGGTCATTGCCTATTTTAATATTTTAAAATTTAGATTGTAAGAGGAGACTGGGTCCCCGGAGAAAGCCCACAATTCCAAGAGGCGACTCCTCCAACTCTGCAACGACCTACTTGCCGTACTTCCTCGTACATGTCCCTTAGGAAGTGGATGCCCCATGAATATCACCGGTGTGGCGCTCATCGCTCCAGAGTAATCCACCTGCCCCACCACTGCCAAGCGGCTTGGCCAGGCAGCTCTATCATTGGTACCACACATCAGTGGAATGCATTAAACAAATTTAATTTGAATGTTGTAAAATCCTGCAGGATCGTACGGGATGTTGTGAAGTCCATTACCGTATTCTCCGGATTATAAGACGCTCTGGAATAAAGTTATCTCAATCTGGTTGGCTATGTATGGCGGGAAGTGCTTCTTATAGTCCACAGAATACGCTAATATGTTATGTAAGGTGGGTAGCCCATGCTTTGACATTGCTTATCAGGGTTGATTCGCTTTGTCCCGTGTCCGACGGTGCTTCAGTCGCGCCGCATGTTTCGTGGAAAAATAGAACAGCAGCAGTGCTGCTTGCAGTTGTCGTTATAATCGCCGTGCCGTCACTTGTTGCAGTGTGTTCACGGTCATTTGCTGAGCGGGCGTTATGAGCCTCATTCGCGTGCGAAGTCATCACGGATATTCAACCCCCCCCCCCCCGTGTTGTATGCAGTAACTTATGTGTGTGTGTGTGTGTGAGACTTTACGTTCCGCTTCTTCGACGGATTGTCTCACCTTCGGGGGTGGGGGTCGCGGTTCGAATCAAGGTTTGACTGCTTTCTTTTCTTGTTCGTACATTCGGCTCGTCGTGGTCTCGTTTCCCCCACTAGGCTGACGGTCACATTTCCATAGAATCGACGCAAGAAAATGACATCGGATCCTTAACGTGCATGGTTCGTGCACGTACGTACGTACGTGCGTGTCTGTCGTCGGTGTAAGATTCGGTTTTGAATCGATGGTGAATCGTTGCATACCGAGTAACTCTAAAACAGAGGAACCCCTCCTCTGATTCTGCATTCAGTTCCTGCTGGACGTTGTACGCAGTTTTTACGAAAGCCTTGCATTAACAATAATATATAATGTGACAGGTATTTTTTTATGTTTTGCCAAAGGAGAATATGGGATCATTTTATACATTGTCAATAGTTTGTCTTATTTTTAATGGGTGGTTGGTTTTATTTTTTATGTTGTTTTGGGTGGGAAAAAAAATCAAAAATGTATGACTTAAGAAAGCATAATCGTTTAAACCGCTACGCAAGTGCAGATGCAAATGCTGAATGCGGTCGTGCGGCATTTGGTTCGTGTGAACCCAGTTCCCAGGATCTGCGTTCGTCAGGGGCAGTATATTTTAAGCGAACATTTGTACACCCAGACCAACGGTTTGCCTTGCAACTTGAAAAGAATAGTGCCTCACTTTGTCACAAGACTCGCCCGATACAATCTGCAACAGTTCTTGGCATTAAAAAAAATGAATTGCCTTTCCCGGTTAATAACAAAGTGGGCCCTTTTTCTATATATTGCTGCAATTTTTAGCATGTGCACAAACATTTAAAGTGTCATTTTTAGAAACGTATTTATCCACGTAAGGAATATTCTTTTAGTCGCTAATGTAAGCAAACGCTATGTAATCGTCTCTCTGGTAGATTGTTTATTTATGTGCATCAATCCATTGCCGCATTTGAAAATGTAAGGTTTATAAAAAAAAAAACAGTATGACAGACAATATAATTGTATGCAAATGAGCAGGACAGCTATAAGGAGTAGTAAAATGCAAACAGTGCATTTAAAAGGCAACGTCTTTGTCACACAGTGACCCTGCGACTACTAGAGCTGGGCTTTACGATGATTGACGTGATCGATTGATCTATCGGTTCGTTTTCTCGACTAATTGGAAAAGACGAAAATAGTTGGTAACATCGAAGTTTCCCCGCCTGTTCCCCACCGGACAGCAGCTGATTGGGCGAGGCTTGGTGGTGTCATGGCCAGTGGCGTGACGTCACCAAGTGCCCTGTGGTGGTAGCGGGGGGGGGGAGAGATTCCCACCTTCGATGGAGGGGGTGGGAAGCCGAATGGGTGTGGTGGTGGGGGGGTGGGCACCAAAGAGTGGTCGATTTGCGATTCCCAGACCTCATCGCTTCATTGGCCCAGTTCTTCGCTTGCATCGCTGACATTAGCTCCTAGTCACAGGTCAAAAGTCACGCCGTGGTCGAGTCACTTCGAATGGGCCCCCTGGACTCCCAAGGCAGCCACCGCCGATGGCTCGAGGATCCCTGTGCGTCGTGGTGATGCCGGTCGTCGTCGTTTTTCATTCTGCACGTGCTCGGTGTTTCGAGTAATTCTGTCCGGTCGTTTTTATCTATTTTCGATTTTTTTGTTTGTTTGTTTTTATCTCTTAAAAACTGTTTTTGTTTGTTTTGCGCTCCGAGGTGTGTGTGTGTGTGCATGGCAGCTAGCTGTGTCATGCGTGGAAACGGATCAATAAAAATTAAATGCGCTCACCTCGCAGTGCGTAGCTTGCTTTTGCCGGAGAACGTCTCCTCGAGAGGCAGAAGATCATCCCCCACTGCTCCGTGTGCGAATTCAGCGTCGTTTGTGAAGAGGAGACTCGAGCTGGTTAAGAAGGATCTTTATTTTCAACGCCAACTCACGCCACACTTTCACTCGTCATCAAAAACCAACCTCGGAACTCTCCAAACTCCGTTCACTTTAATACCCAGCCCTTTTATAATCCTTACAATCATTCTCGCACCAATTCGATCAGTGTCCTCCACTCAATCGTCGGATTGCCTTGTCGTGCACGGCAGTGTTCCCGTGACCCCTGACCCTTAACCCGTGTTTGTGTGGTGTTTGTGTGTGAGGATGTCCGGAACATCTTCTCCATTTGTTTTTTTTAAAGAAAAAAAAACTGGTCATTTGGTGATGTTGCTCCCGCGTTGGCAGCGGTGAACACGCGCGCTTGACAACGAAACTCAGTCCGCTCGTCCGTAACAACACTGTGGGGGGCTAATAGGCGATGTTTCAAGCAATGGCCATTCGTCCCGTAGCACCTACCTACATCCATGAAGAAGAGCCATTGCCCGAAAGGTCACCTGTTATGTAAAAACAAAAATCCGTTTTTAAGGCCACATAGTTAATGACGAACGTGTTGAGGTTTTCCTTGTAATCTTGTTAACAGATTTTAATACAGTTGCAATGTCGCAAATTTCGAGTCGGCGACAAGTGAGATAAAGGCGGATATGTGACCGGGTCGGATGTGCGATCAGCTCTCGAGCATGCCCGTTGCACCGTGGTACACATTCAGCACTTGATGTGGCTCGATAATTGGTCAGGGTAGATATGTAGTGGTCCGATATGCTGCGTTGTACTGTAACTTTTTTTGACGCTGACTCGGTTGTCTGTGACTCTGTCCAACAATAATACGACCTTTATTGTTTTCAATTATATCGACTTTTATTATTGTCATGTGCCCAGTGTGCTTTGAGTTCATATTAATCTTCTTCATATTTATAATATGTAGTCGTAGGAGCTGGGATGTGCAACGTTCAGCCGAATAACTTTTTTTATTTCGCTTGTGCAGATCGATCCGATAAAACAAAATCACTCCGCTCGGGATTGAACCACGAGTGGCTGACGCCCAGACTTTCAATGCGGAATTTCAGCAAGATCGACTTCAGAGCTCTGACGCATCCATTATGAACCCCCTGGGCAACGCAGCCACCTCCAATAAAAAATATATATTTCTTAATAGAGTAAGCACGAAAAGCCACAATGACTTGGCCATAACAGCGATAGCACTGTCATGAAAAAAATTATGGTATCGAATTATCCACATCTAAGCTGATACGTTGGGGTGCTTGTAAGAACGTGTAATGCCCTGCGCTGTGCAATCTCATGCAAACTGCACCTAGGTCAGTTCAGTCTGAAATGGAACCCAATAGTCACTGTGGAACGGTGACGGCCTGGCGAAGAAGACCGTGGTCACAGTTTCACCATCAACGTTTCCCAAGAAACATCCACCACCAACAATCACTACCAACATGAGACCAGTGCACCAACAAAAACATGGCCCCTTCTTACTCAAACGACCACTGGGCATTGCTCACCTATATCAGGGCCATCCTAATCTACTGTGGTGAAAACACGTCCATCCATCACGTCCACAGTATATGACGATAGCAAATAATGCATCATCATCAGACATGACCTTTCCACTGCTGGATGAAGGCCTACCCAGCCACCACCATCTGAAACTGAACTATTTAATTTTACCACGTAAGGCCCACTGAGGTGTATAGTTATTTTTCAGAAGTGACCTAGCTATCACAAATGATAGCTCAACAAAACGGTATGAAACGGTTGATCATGTGGAAATGTATAGCCTATCAAATACTCTAAACGCATGATTCTAAATGTGGAGGGGGAAACAAGACAACAATGAACGTGAAAACTCCACATGTACAGGTGCCAGGGTCGGGATTGGACCCACGACCTCCTGTATACCAGGCGAGGGAGTTAACATCTCGCCACCGCGGCGCCCAATCTCAATCTCTCGATGCAACGATCCGTCTCAGCTCCTGCATACGAGCCGATCGCATCGCTCCCATATTCACGGCGGTCGTCATCTTGGGCTGGAAAAATAGCTGGAACAGGTGAGAGAGGGCTCATCACCTCTGAAGAAAGAGCAAAGTGGGCTGAGGCAGCACGCGATGGCCCAGGAGTCGAAATAAACGGTTGAGAAGGCACCAAAAACTATACACTTTTTAATTTTACCAGGTAAGACTCGCTTAGCTATGTAGCTCTTTTATGAGAAGCAAACCTGGCTATGGCAAATAATAGCTCATCGAAGTGGCTTATGTGGAAATGTAACCAAATACTTTCAACGCACTTTGATTATAAATGAGGGAAAAACCGGAGGACATGGAGAAAATCCACGCGAACCACGGGGAGAGAAACATGCAAACTGCAAGTATACAGCAGGCGTCAGAGTCGGGATCGCCATCACGACCTCCTGCATACCAGGCGAGGTAGTTATCATCAGGAGAGAACGTCCAAAATGTGTCCCTATCCCACCGTATTTTTCCAAATATAGTTTGCTTTTTCTTCAGCGGACCACATTATAGAATGCCACCTCCAACTCTAACTCACATAAATGGCGCACACTGCCAAGCGCCAGATGGCACAGGCCTGCTGGCAGCATTCGTGGGTGCAATGGCGAAGCCAGATTTTCAGGTAGGGGTGGGGGGCAACCCCTCCAGCAATGCACAACGATAGAGGAGTTGTTAGTAAGTAAGGACTTGTCCCTTGCTTTTTATTCGACGCGTGTGCGGCGATGGCGCAGCCATCGATCGAGGGTCAGATTCGAACCGCGTTGTGCGATCGCCATCGCGCTCGCTGAAGGTGAATGCCTTATTACTGCTTTGCCGTTACTTATCGCCAATTATGGACTCAGACTATTGTCCTATCAGAGTCCCTGGCACATAATATGCTGCACAGTGGCAGTGGGGGTCGCAAAATGGCGATTTATTACTAATAAACCCCAATGATCCGATCGAAATTAGGGATTTCGATCGGATCATCGGGGGGGCACGTGTTTATTTTGCGGACTGGGATGATGACGGCGATGGTGACTTTTGCCTCGGCGATAAGGAACCAGGCAAGACGTGAATTTGCTTTCTGAAGGTCAGACACGGAACCCTCCCTTCTGCATTATTTTATTGTTGTTATTTCACTTGTTTACCCAGAAAAACTTGAGTCTCGAGTCTCTTTTTCTGTTTTCACACTTGCATGAGGGGCTGTGGGAGTGATGCAGCGAATGTTTCAGCTTTCAATAGTTTTGACCAATAGCAGTTTACATTGTGTGTTTCTTTATTTAGCTTACTATGGGGGGAAACCCTGCGCGGAACAGGAAAGAGACCAAACAAATGTAACACAGAAAGGTGCCCTAGTCGAGAATCGAGCCCATGTGCTTCTTGCTGTGAGACACGAAGTGCTACCACTTCGCACCAACTCAGCCGCCCTTCTCACCCCTTCCACTCTGCCCTTTTTCTTCAGCGGACCACATTATGGGGGCATCGACACCTCCCTTCGTGCACTACCAGTGGATGCATGTTGCGTGGAACTTCTTTTGCACCGTGCAGAGGGGGTTCGTCTACGGATCTTCGACCATCACTCTCTGCGTCGAGGAAGAGACACTGTCTGAGACACCGGTGTGTTAAGTTTCATTCAGTAACTGCGTGACGTTGGTTAATGATGAAAGTAGTCAACCGGTGTGAGTGGCTGGTTACATTGGTAGTCTGACCATTCGTCCTCGACCGGATGAGGCCTCCATCGCCATCCTGTGTCCTGCGATGCCACAACCGATGTCACTCCTGCACGCGAACCGATCTCATCGCTTCATCTCCACGATGGTAGTCCTCTTAAGCGTACTCTTCCGTCCGGGAATGTGGACGTTACACATAGCTATGGCGGGGTCAAGTCTATCCATAGGACAACCACTGTGGACTTCCTCACAAACCGGTACTCATTTTATCGTACCTGTTGAGTCAACACTCCAGTGTTTGTCATGACAGCACTGTGTATAATACTGTCCTGAGAAAACCTTAATGGGGATTTGGACTCGAAATCAATCTGCAATGCTTATGTGGTCTGAAGCAGTCATTCCTAATCTTGCGTTCGTCTTCTGTGCTCCCTACCACACCTACCTACAGACCGTATATTTTAAATAAGCGTAATTGTTTCCCTTAAATAATCTACTTATTTACATACGCTACTGAAAATTATTAACTTATTTAACGCTTACTACATGTTAAAGTTGCATTTATATGTAATTAACAAATGAGACGTTTGAATTCGCAATTAACAAACTTAATAAGGAAATTCTAGATTTGAAGCTTTCGTGACTGCAAGGATCCATATACTCTTTGGTTCTATTCGGTAAAGTCACGTAGGTAAAAAATAAAACAACAAAAATCACGACGTTTCGGCCACAACACACGCGGCCTTCATCAGGTGAAGGGACCAGACTGTATCGAGGACAGCGCTGGAGTGAACACAGCTAAGCTCAGACCTTTAAGCTGTGTGAGAGGAATCAAGGTGCCTTGACAAAGGAAGTAGCATAAAAAATAGCATCTAATTGGCGGACTTAGCATGATGAAAGGTGAACATGTGCAGGTCGGCGAGGGGGGAGGTGTGAAAGGGAAGAAAAGGGAAGCACAAAAGTTTGGGGTACCACTACTTGAAAAATATACTGTACCATTGAAAATTAGTTGAATGTTTGGTTCGATTTAGAACATCTTTCCAATGGTTGCTTAATTTGAAACCATCTTCTTGGTTGAAATTGTGTCTGTGTTTGTAAATCTGAATTGCCTCGTGAACAAATCTCTGATAAAAACCCGTGGGTTTGCAAAGAACCTTGGTATCGGAGAAAATTATATTGTGATCACCCACAGCGTTGTTACAGTGATCAGCTACGGCAGAAGAATTCACACTACCATATATAG